GCTGTGCATTGTCTGCAAGAGCAGGTGTAGGACTGCAACCTGTGTACCCTGGGCTCCTGTGGCCCCAAGAGATCTGCTATCCTCCTCTTGCTCAGAGACCCCTTTCTAAAGAGCTGCCTGTTCTGTCCTGAGCTAGGTCTGGTGGGGCACAGAGCAGCCTCAAGAGATTCCCCCCCCCCAAAGGAGCAGAGAGTCCCTGGTGATAGACTAGGAAGTCACACAGGGCAGCCCTTGCCACAGGCCATCCGGGAACTTCCATTGTTCGCCTTGCCTTTCAGGGTGCGGCACATCATGGGTGCTCMAGGTGTGCCATTGAGTGCTGGGGCTGTGTGGGGTGGAGGCAGCAGGTAGTGCTGGGAGCCATGACTGTGGGCTCTCAGCCCCTTCAGGATGGGTTCCACTTTCTCTGCCCAGGCTTTCCCATGAATCTTTCCAGACTCTAAGGAAAGGGGGAAAGGGACACTGTTCTCAGAGGGGGCCTGCAGGGGTGAACATTTTTGCCCTTGTCTCTGTTTCTATCCTTCCCCAGCAGCCCCTGCAAGTTCAGCCTGGTGTCATCAAAGGACAATAACTTGATAACTTGCATTATGAGTGAGGTGGGGCAGGGGTCAGAGCTTATCTTCCTGATGAACCTTCCAGGAAGTCCCAGGGAATGGCTGCAAACTCATGGCCCAGAGCCCCTCAGCTGGGGATCCTGTCCCACCCCTATCTGACCCTCTCTGCCTAGGTCTGCCTGCTGGGGATGGCTTTGCCTGCCTATCTATGCAGGTGGGGGGGCCTTGTGGAACCATACTTTGTGGGGTATATTTCTAGGCCTAAAGAGATCTTTCCTGAGTGTAGAAGGGTGACAGGAGGAGCTCCATTTACATTTGTAAATTAACTCATTCACCTGAATGTCTCTGGGAGGCACACACTGTGCCAGGTCCCTCAGTGTCCCAAGGTTCCATCAGCCCATTCAGGAGCATTGCACAGAGGAACCTGGCTGTCCACACACCAGTGCCACGGGCCTCTCCCAACCCCACCCATTTCCCCCACCAGACACTGTGACACTGACTACATTTGCCATTGTTTTCTGGAGGATCTGAGCCCRCTGCTGTCCCTCACTCTCAGCTGGACATTTGTTCCTTTTTTTCCAAGTCACAGAACCCACTCATTCCAGATGATCTTCCTCCCTAATTACGGCAATCATTGTTGGATTGCATGCTCTGGTTACACAACTATATTTTCGCATGTTAATTGCATAATTAAGACAAGCAATTATGTGGGAAAACTTTGGAAATTTCCAGGCTCCCAATGTGATTTGAGAGTCCAGCAAGGTGCCCCTACTGTCTACCTTGGAAGGACAGTGGGGACTCTAGGACACAAATGTAGGGGTTGAACAGTGACCACTTCTCTCAGCTTCTCCAGATACCCTGATGCAGAAGCTCTGTCCTTATGGTCCATGGACAGGTAGCAAGTGTGAATCAACAGGCATGGCCCTCAAAGACCCCGTCAGCTGGCTCCTGCCTGCATGTAGCCGTGGGCCTTGGGGATATGGAGCCTGGGCTGTGGCTCTTGTGTGTTTCTAGAAGCTCAGGCCTAACGTGTCTTCTTCAGTGGCCTCTGATGTCCTGGGCAGCTCACAGCTGAGTAGAGGGGTCTAGGAGAATAGGCTGGACGCAGTGGCTGATCTCTTCCTTCATACTCCAACTCCAGCTTCTGTCCTTCCTCAAAAGACCCATGGCCTTAGAGATCTTACAGACCACTTTATTCCCATCCCAGCTTCCTTCTGTCTCCTGTAGAAAATGGCTCAAATCTCACCCTCTGGGAAGCCTTCCTGGGTTGGTTCTGCTCTGGGCATCTCCACAGGGTGGCCCCAATCAAGTCCATCTGATAGTTTGTCCACCACGGGGTCCTTCCCTCCAAAGACTGGGAGCTCCTAGAGAACTGGCCCTGGAGAATCCTCATCCATCCTCCCCTTCCCTCTGCACAGATGCTGTGCTATCATGGAGTCCATGCCTCTGCCCCCAATACTGTATGTATGTTTGCAAATTGCCTTATTTCAAATGCCTCCAGGGAGTCGGTTATTTAAAGAAATACTATAGAAGATCCTTTGGTAAAGACTGGAATCACTTTATTTTTTGTGTAAGTTTGGATTTTCGTCTCTCTAGAGATGGGGGGAGGGAGAGGCTGCAGGCAGGTTTACATCTTTCTACAGCCTTCAGTACTGGCCCCTGCGTACTCCTGTGTGGCTCAGTATGTCTAAATCACATCTGCTTTATTTGACAAGCGTGGTTCCAAGGCCATCTGTGTGTCAGTCTCGGTGGGCTGGAGGTGAAGGTTTGACTACAAAGAGAGACAAGACCCAGTCCCTTCCTCTCAGAGTCACTGAGGGAGACAGATACGTGCCAGGTGCATCAACCCAGGAGTGTTCAAGGGGAATTGTGGTTGCACTGAGGGAGGTGGGACTGACTTTGCCCCAGACTCCAGAAGACAGGGAAGGCTTCATGGAGGAAGTGATTTTTAAGCAGCATTGTGGTTGGTAGAGTTCAAACATGGCAAACAAGCAGGGAATGGCAGGTGGGTGTGGTTTAAGTGGAGGATGCAAAGTAGGGACATGATAAGACTGGGGAGACAAAGAGATTAGGGTGACAAGCAGGGCCAGGCCACTATCTGTGTGTAGACCTCGGAGGCTGGTTTCAATTCCAAAACCAAAGGGGTTAGAATTGGTTACAGGAGTGACGCACACTTCCTTTTATTTTAGGAAGATCCCTCTGGTTGTGGCATTGATGGACAGGTGGTGAGGCTGCACAGAGATGGACTGTGAGTGCAGAGCCACGGGCTGGAGGGAGGAGAGAGCCTAAGTGGGGTGGGGTGGGAGTGGGGATGCAGAAGAGGGGTGGAGCTCAGAGACATTTGCAAGGAAAAAGGGAAGTGACAAGAGGGCTCCTTTGGTAGAAGTGAGGGGAGGAGAAGGGGGTAGGGAAGGGCCAGCACACTGGTAGGCAGGGAGGGACAAGAGGTCAGTGAATTCCTGACTTGTGAGCTCTAGGTCCTCTATGGACTAGAATTTGGGTCACCTGCCAAGAGTGAGAACACAAGTGTGGGGGAGGGTTGTAAAGGCTAAGTTTGTGGTGGGCATGAGGTTTTTCTTCAGCTAGCTGCTCCTCTTCCTCTTCTTCCTCTTCCTCCCTCTTTCTCTTCCTCCTTCTCCTCCTCCTGGATTGAACCCAGGGACACTCAACCACTATCCCCAGGCATCCCCCCTCTTTTTTTAGTTGTAGTTGGACACAATACCTTTATTTATTTTTATATGGTGCTGAGGATCGAACCCAGGGCCTCACTCGTGCTAGACGAGCACTCTGCCGCTGAGCCACAACCCCAGCCCAGGCACCCCCCTTTTTAATATTTTATTTTCAGCGTTTCATGAATTGCTAAGATGCTGAGGCTGGCTTTGAATTCTCCATCCCCCTGCTTCAGCCTCCCGACCCACTGCGGTTACGGGTGTGCGCGCCTGTGCCCTGCTTCAGCCATTCTTGGTTGCCAGGGGAGAAGGTTGGAGGGACCTTGGGATGGGGATCAGGGGCTGAGTATTGTGGAAGATCAAGTCCAGAAAGTCCTAGGATTCTGGCAACAGTGACATGCCCCTGTAGAGTCCATGCTGGTGATAAGGACAAGGAGGCCGGGTGAGCGGGAGGGAGGAGTGGAGGAAGGCCTGGGTGTGGGCAAGCACGCAGATGAGCACAGAGAGGGGGTCCCTGACAGAGTCAGCACCCCAGCTGGGGGACACCAGTCAGGGTTTCCCCAGGTTTCTCACTTCTCATCTGTGACAATGCTTTCCTCCAGGTTTACATGTGACAGCACACGTGAAGGGCTAGACCCAGGAGGCCCTCAGTGACGGGTTACACAAAAAGCTGCCAAATGCAACGGCAGAGCTGACCTGAAGGAGGCTGGTCAGGGTCCCTTTCCTTGTTCACCTGTGAGCCCTAGGTGTCTGTTCAGTTGCCAGCACATGGAGGCACTGAACAGGTGTTGGTTTCAGGAGGCAGGCCAGGTAAATAGGGCTGAGATTAAGCTGAGTCTCCACTCTCTCCTCTGACAGACAGACAGCATGACAATACCTTGTAGGACTCTGATGTGAAGTAGACACTATTGGTGGCCCTGCCCTGACCCCTCACCACTCATGTTCCTGAAGGCTGCTGGCTTCTTTCTGCAGACACCTGCAAGTCTCGGCTCAAGAGTTAGGAGACCAGAGAAGACACCAGGAGGCCACAGAGTTAGCACTCCATTAACCCAAGACAGGAGTCAGAGCACAGAGATCCAGCTTATGGCTTCTGAGGCAGCATTACTTGGATGTGCTCCTGGTTGACTCTCAACCCCCTGAGAATCAACTCCCAACTAAACACTTGTACTCAAATCCCTGTCCCAGGGTCTGTTTCTGGGAAACCCATCCAGGAGAGCTTGGAAGGTGCTTGACAGGAAGAAGACCCCGGGCAAAGGGCAGCAGGTGCACTAGTCTGAAGGCTTCGTGAAAGCAGCGATGTCCACTTGGATACAGCAGGCTCCTGAGGTGTAGGAGTGTCCTGGCACAGAGAAGGCACCCAGAAGGCATCCCTGCTCAGAATGGCAGGAAGAGGAGAATCAGGCAGGAAAAGAGGTGTGCCCAGTGAAGCAGCATGCTCCCGTGGCTCCCTTGTCCTTTCCGGCCCTTTCTTTGTCCCTGTTCTCTTCCCCAAGGCCTATATATTTCTCTCCTGGTCCTCCTYATTTTCTCTTTTCTCCTCCTCTTTCTATGCTCACAATGTCCCTCTGCTGTCCCTAAAGTTCTGCTCTGGAAATGAACCTTTCTGCAGCATTGTGACATCACTGTGTGTCAGCCAGTGCCCGCCCACCTGGGTTGGGCCCCCAGCCTTCTGGAACCACTGGCCCTCTAGTGATAGGGCCACCTTTTCCTCTAGGGCCCCTTCATCTCCAGGGGCAACTTTCAGAGCATGGATCCCTCCTGATTCTGCTGTGGCCCAATGTTCCTCACAGTCAAGCTGCTTTTGGGCCGTAGATGCAACCTCAGGGTGTCGGGCCAYGAGAGTGTGGCCACACTGAAGAAGCTGGTGTCCCAGCAGCTGCAGATACCTGCAGAGCAGCAGCACCTGCTGTTCCGTGGCAAGCTGTTGGCTGATGACAAGCGTCTCTCCGACTACTGCATTGGGCCCAATGCCTCCATCAATGTTATCAGGCGGCCCCTGGAGAAGGCGGCACCAGAAGAAGCCCCCCAAACCCAGACCCTGTGGCACCAGCTGGGCCAGGTCCTAGCCAAACACTTTGGGCCCCAGGATGCCAAGGCTGTGCTGCAGCTGCTAAGACGGGAGCACGAGGAGCACGTGCAGAGGGTGAGCTTGGATGGCCTGGAGCGGCTGGCCTGCCGCCTCCTGGCACAGCAGCCATGTGTAGAGCCGACCAAGAAGGAGCCACAGGCTGTGGCCTCAGAGCTTCAGCAACATGAAGGAGGTGGAGAAGGTGGAGGAGCAGTCGATCAGTTACGTACTCCATAAAATTCTGGCCTCATCCTCCGTGTTTCCTGGTGATTTTCCCACTCCTTCCTCTGGCTGCAGGTGCAGCCATTCTTTATTTTTGAACTTTTAAAGTGGCTGGAGGGTATTGGGAGCTCCCTGTTTCCTCTTGGGCTTGTGGTCCTGCTTCTGAAATGCAGAATGATTTTATTCCCATTACTGTTCCCTAGAAGGGTTCTCATGGCCCCAGAGCAGCTATAAAGGGACCAGGTCTGCCTCCCCCTACTAGGCTGAACAGCTCTGCCCAAGCATGGCCCGGAGTCCCCATGGCTCTAGACAGAGCCTCTTTCTTCTTCAGAACAGAAAGACACTGTGCGTCCCTTTTCCTTTAACCTGAGACCATGGTGCCTACCCTCAGGCTCCCAATAGCCAAGAGAAGGGTCCAGTCGGGTGACTGCCTTTGCTGTCTGGGTGAGGCTGTCCTCGCTATCCACCTGCTTGTGCTTCCACAGCTTTGGGGACAGGGGCTGCAGAGTTGGGAGTATAGTCGAGCTGTAGACCTGAGCTTCCACGGACACAGATATAGCCCCAGAATGGCAGGAAGAGGAGACTCAGGCAGGAAAAGAGGTCTGTAAGTAGCACACTGTGTGGCCAGCAAAAACCAAGCCATTGTCCACTGACCCATTCAGAGCAATCAGGAGAGAGCAATGAGCTCCAATAACCTGCCCATCACTGCCCAAGGCTTCATGGGAGAGTTAAAAACAAACAAACAAAAAAAGGTGCAGCTAGGACCCCGGGAGCCTGGATGAAAGACAGGTGTGCATGTGAGAAGTGAGGTCCCAACATGACACTAGGACATAGTTGTGACTAAATCCTCTGGTGCTTTCAGGGTCCTGGGATAGTCCCCAGGATATGGAAGAGCCAAGCCCTTCTCCTGTTCTAGGTGTGAGAGGGTGTCCTTCGCCTAAGGCCAAGGGATTCCCACTCTGAATGGGTGGGAAGAGGGAAGGGGAGCTTTCTGAGTGCTGTGGTCCCTCCCCCTCCCCYGGCTTCACTCCTGAGTCCCTGAAGTTTTGTCCTGGAGGATGGAGATGGAGGGCAGGGATGAAGGAGATGAGGACAAAGGAGCAAGCAGTGCCCGCTTCTCTGGGGAGCATCAGTCCTTGTCCTAGAGGCCCTGGCCCTCCTTTCCAGGCCTCGCTCCACCATAGACTTGCTGCTGGACCATGGCTGACTGACTTCCCCTGTCCTATGTTTAGGTTTCCCACCTTGTTTCATGGGCTCATGATTCTAGTATCTGCTTGCCCTTAGGTATTTGGGGGGGTTAGAGGTGAGGGCTACACAATGGGGAGTGATTTCTTCTAGGGCCCCAGTGGCAGGGCCCAGAAACACGGCCTGTGTGAGCCTGCTTGGTAACACCTGTCCCCCCACCTCTGCCAGAAGAAGACACCTTTACTCATTTGGCCCATCTCCTTTACCAATGCCACTCCTACTCCACCAGCCAGAGGAGAAAAGTTGAACTCTGAGGACCAGAATGGCCTTTCCCTGGCCACTGAGTGCTCAGCCCCTGCAGGTAGGGGTGGAGAGCCCAAGCCTGAAGCTCCCGTCTAGGTCCTGCCCCTGCTCCTGGGCCCTTCATCATCAGCTGGGAGGCCTCCTGACAGTTCTGTGAGTATGTTTATATTGGGGCTGTGCCGTTTGCCAAGGGGGACAAGCCTATTATCTTTACATTAGAGAAACTAATAGCCCATTTCCCAGGAAATCTGTGAGCGATAAAAATAAGTGGGCCGTTTTATTCCTTTTGCCAAGAGAAGCTAGCATGAAGGACAGCGGAGACTTGGTTTTCTCTCTGGTTAGTGGGAGCGTCAGGGCTGGCTGCTGGCAGGCCAGGGCAGGCAGACACCCCACTGCTCCTGTCCCTGGGCACTGCAGAGAACATCTCCAGTTCTGAACAGGCCACATGTGCCTCYACAACTCCTGTTCCCCTTGCTAAGAGCCCTCCTGTCCCCTGATCCCCTCAAAAAGCTGAGCCCAGCTGTCACATGGAGCCTACAGCACACACTTGAGTCAGTTTGCCACCTTTCCCAGGACCAGTTGCACCCAGTGCAGCATTTCCCATTGTGAGATGACAGGCCTATCCTCTAGTGGATAATTTATAGTTATCGGTGGGGGGTATATGGAGAAGCTAGAGCAAGGGTAGACCTGAAACTCCAGCGCAGTGGGAAACCCTACCTCTTGGGCCACCTGCCACAAGGACCCTTCACTGTGCCTGGTTTCAGGTTACTTCAGACTTAAACCTGTGCCAGCTGAAGGAGCTTTCTCYTCCCTTCTGTGTTTCACCATATGGGGGGAAATGGGAATGGGGGAGACACTGCAGCCCTGGGCAGATAGCTCTTCTCTAATTCTCCACGGCATCTCCCCCACCCCACCCCATGGAAGGACACAAGTGTCCCTACCGGTAACAACTTTGTTCATATAGGAGGTATCTCAGGACTGCTTTGTGTTCCTGAGCAGAGACACCCAACACCTCAGCCTGGCTCCTTCCTGCAGGCCAACGTCCCACACCCTCTGGTACCTGGCAAAAGAGTCTTTCTGATAGAAACAGGAGCAGCATCTTGGGTTCATGTCCTACTTCATTAGTCCTTTATTTTTCAATCAATAAACATTTAAGGACCTCTGTCTCAGTCTGTTTGAACTGCTATAACAAAACACCTTAGGCTGGGTAATTCGTAAACAACAGAAATTCATCGTTTACAGTCTCGGAGGGCCAGAAAGGTCAGGGGTCAGCACAGTCAGTGTCTGGTGTGGACCTGTTCCTCATGGATGGCCCCTTCTATGTGCCCTCACATAGCAGAAAGCAGAGAGACTCCAGCTCGTTGAGAAAGGCACTAATCCCAATCACGAGAGCAAAGGCCCATTCTTATTCTTAACACTATCACATTAAGAATAAAGTTACCTGTGTAAATTGTGGAGGAAACACCAACACTAGGCCAGCCTTCTTCCTGGTGCCAGGCTTTGTGCCTGGGACTTGGGCTGGTAGATGAGGAGTCCTGGCTCCTGACTGACAGTAGTGCGCCCCCTGCTGTCCCTAGCAGCAGGGTGCAGCCAAGGAGCATGAGGAAGCACCTGGCATCCTGCCTTGGCCTCTGATTGACACGGCTTGGGGGAGGTCTGTTGCTTTCCCCCACTAGTTCTGAATAATGGGGCAGGGAAGAGTGTGTTGGGATGAAAAATCTTACAGATGCCAAAGAACACTCTAGTGTTCTTTGGGTGCCTGGTTTTAGAAGTAATCCCCAGTCCTCTTTCCTTTGACTCTTGCCTGTTCCCCTCCCCGACCTTATTTGCTCAGGATTGAGTGAGATTTTAGTCATTATAGGAAGATTCCAGCTGTTTTAAATTGGGAAAGAGGAGAATAAATGGAAGGAAGTGGAAAGCAAGGCTATGCTCCCCACCCCCCAAAATTGACAGACTCCGRTTGAGATGCCTGTAGGAAGACTTGGCAACACTGTGTTGAGATGTGCGCCAGATGGGATGGGCAGGGCTCAGGGCATCTCCCATCTGTGCTGGGAGAGGTTCCATTAGGGGGATGGGGGCTAGGGTAGAGTGTCAGCTTCTATTTCCATGACTGGGACTTAGTTTGCTATCGCTAACAAAAAAATTAAAAAAAAATAGTGTGAGAAAGGCCATAATAAATGTAGAAGCTCTCCTGAATATAGTTTTAAAACTGTTGACTTCCTCATTCTTTGGGGTAGCCCTCTTAGTGGGTAAATCACTGCACATGGAAGCCCAGAACCCAGTCTAAGTCCTCACATCAAAAGCACATAACAACAACAAAAATTTGACATAATTAATGCCTACTGTAGTTGGAGGCCATGAGGAGGCCCCCTGAGCGCCACCTCTTGCTATACAAGCTTTTGTGTAAGTGTCCCCTTTGAATGTAGGGAGGCTGTGATTTGCATTTAATTAATAGAATCTCAGTGTGAAATGGAATAATCAAGTCAACCCCTGAAAAGGGACAATCTGATAACACAGAAACCCCCAAGCTGGGTATATGCCTGGGACCCCATTTTGGCTCCACCATTGGACTTGAGCCTTGGGTGAGTCACTTCATATCTCTGGACCAGACTCTCCCATTTGCAAAATGGGAGAAGGGGCTAGACTCTGGTGCTGAGGTTCTGTGTTGGTGTGAAGTCACAGACTGGAGCTACTGGTGCCCCAGGATGGCAGAAGTTGGCCCTCCTCTCACTGTGAGGCTTTGAGCAAGAGGTCAGAAATGGACAATGGTGAGATGGTCAGGATAGATTGCTACCAAATAGAACGGACGTTATAAATACACTTTAAAAGTAAGATGAATGTTAAAATCATACCACTGATGTTCTTTAAGGACACACACCTAGGCAAATATCAAGAAGTATTTGACAGGAAGGGAAATGCAAGCAAAGAAAGGTTCACAGAGGCTTCAGTTGAATTATGAAGTTTATTATATCAAGTGGAGGGTATGTGGGTATTAGTTTTCTATTGCTATATAACAAGGAACTACAAATTTRGCAACTTTCATATTATCTCACAATTCAATGATATGGTTCACCTGATGCTTATGGGTCTCCGGAGGCTGCTGGGAAGATGGCAACTGGGCTGCGTTCTCATCTGGAGTCTCAACAGGGGAAGAGTCGGCTTCCAAACTCACTCAGATTGTTGGTACAGTCCATGGGGCTGTAGGACCAAGGGTCTTGGTTGCTGGATGGGGCTAGTAAAGGCCACTCATGGTTCCTCATCACATGAGCTTTTCCAAATGACTTTGCTTTACCAAGCCTGGAAGGAGAATCTCTAGAGTGAGTTAGGTGGCAAGACCAAATCTTATTCAATGGAGTGTAATCTTGGGGTGCCTGTCCATCACCTTTGCCAGAGTCTATCCGGAGCAAGTCACAGGTGCAGTCCATTTTCAAAGGGAGAGGACCGTTCAAAGGCATGGACACTTTGTAGAAGTGGAGCTCACGGTGGCCTCCTCACAGCCTTCCCACTACAATAGGTGTGGCTTGGGT